AGGCGGAGTATCTTATCACTTTGTTCAATGTCACCACTATTTGCGAGAGCAAGAACCTTGGTACCCTGTACAGAAATGGTTGAATGGAACATAATTAGTGCATGTAATATGTACGCTCTAAGATTGATTATTTTATAAGCTTTATAAGCTTACCTCCTCATCCTGCAATATAAAAGGTCTGTACTTGTTAGGGCTCGTCATTGAGTCTTTGATGTTCCGTTTCTCCACAACTCTAACCTTACATGTCCATTCCTTTTTGTTGTCATTTATTCCACTGATCATTCCACCATACGTGTCCATTCCTTTTTGTTGTCATTTGACTTTAGGATTAAGAGTTTGGGTCTATCTTTGCGATGGGGTTTTGTATCTGGGTCACTAAAATTAATAATTTAGGGCTGGGTTTTGGTGCTGGTTTTTGGGGCTCGTTGGTTGGGTTTTGAGTTTTGGGTTTAGACTTTGGGTTTGTTTTCGTGTCGGGTCACAAAAATTAAAACTAAAAGATCGTTGAAGGAAGACACATATTGTGAACCTAGGTATTACGACACAACCTAATATGATAAAATAAATTGGAAATTGAGAAAGTTAAACATAGTTCTGAACAAAAAATGATTTATGATTTTAGATTTTTAACCTATAAATGGTGTTCAAAGACTGTGTTCATACCCTTATGTAGAATCTGGGTTAGGTTTTGGCGTTTGTGTTTGGGACTGGTTTTTGGGCCTGGGTTTTGGGTAGACTCTAGGTTGGGTTATAACAGTGTGATGAAAACAAGAACGAAAAAGAAAGGAACTTCCCATATTCCCTTGTTGTCACGGCCTACTGAGCGTGAGTTCTGTTAACTTTCAAACTTTGTCTTTTTCTGCTACTCTGATATCACAAATGTACAACAAAGTGGGTTCTATGTTTTTTTTTTTTGCAATTTTTTTTGCAGCATCTTATGAAGAGCGCCGTGCAAGATTGGATGCAAGGATTCGAACGCGAGAGTAGAACTCATTTCATTTTTCCCTTTTTTTTAAAAAAGTGACAGAAACTCATGGATCTGCTGCAAACAAGAATAAATAGCAGTCTGAGCATACCTAATTTAGTTTCATACATACTGTCCTAAGCTTAAAGACATTTTAATTTAATTCATAGACGAATAACAAAATTCACCAAACACACTTCGGGGTTTGTTTTAGATTTTTATGAAATTACTGAATTTCAAGCACTTTAAAAAGAGCACATAAATAAAAAGCACTTCCAGATTATCTAACACATAAATTGATTTCAAACACTTTCAAACAACACCAGGATTTCAACCATTCGCATAATGGATTTCAAGCACTATCAAAGACGCCCTTATTATGAGGCAATGATTTAACAC